ATACTACTAGAAATCTTCAGAATCATACTAGAAATCCTAGGAATCCTATTAGAAATCCTAGAAATCCTACTAGAAATCCTAGAAATCCTAGCAATCATACTAGAAATCCTAGTGGTCCTACTAGAAATACTAGGAATCCACTAGAAATCCTAGGAATCCTACTAGATATCCTAGGAATCCTACTAGATATCCTAGGAATCCTACTAGATATCTTAGGAATCCTACTGGATATTCTAGAAATCCTACTAGATATCCTAGAAATCATACTAAAAATCCTAGGAATCTTACTAGAAATCGTATAACAAATCTACTAGGAATCCTACTAGAAATCCTTCTAGGAATCCGCTAGATATCCTACTAGAAATACTACTTGGAGTCCTACTAGAACTCGCCTAAAAAATCCAACTAGTAATTCTATCATAAATCCTTCTAGGAATCCTACTAGAAATACTACTAGAAATCTTAGAAATCCTACTACAACTCCTACTAGAAATCCCACTCGGAATCCTACTAGGAATCCCCTAGAACGCCTACTAAAAATACTAGAATGAATCCTACTAGAAATCACATAGAAATCCTACTACAAATACTACTAGAGATCCAACTAGGAATCCATTGGAAATCTTAACAGAAATCACATAGAAATCCTACTAGAAATCCTAGAAATCCTACTAGGAATCACCTAGGAATCCTACTAAAAATCACTTAGAAACTCTACTAGGAATCCTAGTAGGAATTCCCTAGAAATCCTACACTAAATTCTAGAAATCTTACTAGAAATCACTTAGAAATTCTACTAGAATCCTTACTATGAATCCTACCAAAATCCTACTAGGAAACCCCTAGAAATCCAACTAGAAATCCTTGAAATCCTACTAGAAATCACCTAGAAATCCTAATAGAGATCCTAATATAAATCCTGCTAGGGATCCCTTAGAAGGTCTTCTATAAATACTACTAGGAATCCTACTAGAATTCACCAAAAAATCCTACTTGAAACCCTTCTACAAATCCTACTATGATTCCTACTAGAAATCATACTAGGAATCCTACTAGAAATCCTACTAGAAATCCCCTAGAAATACTACTAGAAATCACATAGAAATCCTATTAGAAATGCTACTAGGAATACTACTAGCAATCCTACTAAGCATTCTCTAGAAATCCTACTAGAAATCACCTAGAAACCCTACTAGAACTTACTATAAATCCTAGAAATCCTACTAGAAATCACCTAGAAATCCTATTGAAAATCCTACTAGGAATCCTGCTAGAAATCCTACTAGGGATCTCCTAGAAATCCTACTAGAAATCACCTAGAAATTCTACTAAAAATCATACTAGGAATCCAACTAGGAATCCTAAAACTCCTACTAGGAATCCCTTAGAAATCCTACTAGAAATCCCAGAAATCATACTAGAAATCATACTAGAAATCACCTAGAAACCCTACTAGAAATCCTTTAGAAATTCCACTAGAAATTCTACTAGTAATCTCCTTTGAATCCTACTGTAAATCGCCTAAAAATTCTTCTAGAAATCCTACTAGGAATCATGCTAGAAATCCTATTAGGAGTCCCCTAGAAATCCTACTAGAAATCCTACTAGAAATCACCTAAAAATCCTACTAGAACTCACCTGGAAATCCTACTAGAAATCCAACTCGAAATCCTACTAGGAATCCTACTAAAAATCCTACTAGTAATCCCCTGTAAATCCTACTGTAAATCACTCAAAAATCCCACTAGAAATCCTACTAGGAATCCTGCTAGAAATCCTACTAGGAATACCCTAGAAATCCTACTAGAACCCCTACTAGGAATACTACTAAAATCCTACTTGGAATCCCCTAGAAATCCTACTAGAAATCATACTAGAAATCCTACTAGAAATATCCTAAAATCCTACTAGAAATCCTACTAGGAATCCCCTAAAATTCTACTAGGAAGCCTACTAGAAATCCCCAAGAAATCCTACTAAAAATCACCTAGAAGTCCTACTAGAAATTCTACTAGAAATCTTTCTAGAAATCACTTAGAAATCCCACTAGAAATCCTACTAAGCATCCCCTAGAAAACATTCTAGAAATACTAATAGGAATCCTACTAAAAATCACATAGAAATCCTACTAGAACTCCTAGAAATCCTACTAGGAATCCCCTAGAAGTCCTACTAGAAATCACTTAGAAATCCTACTAGGAATCCAACCTACTAGAAATCCTACTAGAAATTCTACTAGGAATCCTACTAGGAATCCTACTAGAAATCGCCAAAAAATCCTACTAGAAATGCTATTAGAAATCTTTCTAGAAATTATATAGAAATTCTACTAGAAATCCCACTAGAAATGCTACTAAGCATCCCTCTAGGAATCCTACTAGGAATCCCCTGGAAATTATACTAGAAATCATAGAATTCCTACTAGAAACCACCTAGAAATCCTACTAGAATCCCTACTAGGAATCCTTCTAAAATCCTACTTGGAATCTTAGAAATCCTAGTAGAAATCCAAGAAATCCTACTTGAAATCCTACAAGGAATCCTACTAGAAATCTTACTAGGAATCCCTTAGAAATCCAAGAAGAAATTACTTAGAAATCCTTCTCGGAATCCTACTAGAAATCCTACTAGAAATCCTACTTGCAATCCTACTAGAAATCCTACTAAGCATCTCCTAGAAATCCTACTATGAATCCTACTAGGAATCACCTTGAAATCCTACTAGGAATCCTACTAGAAATCACCTCTGAATTATACAAGGAATCCTACTAGAAATCCTACTAGCAATCCCTCTAGGAATCCTATTAGAAATCCTACTAGGAATCCCCTAGAAATCCTACTAAAATCCTACTAGAAATCTTATTAGGAATCCCCTAGAAATCCAAATAGAAATCACCTAGAAATCCTACTAGAATTCCTACTAGGAATACTACTAGAAATCCGGCTATAAATCACGTAGAAATCCTATAAGGAATCCTGTTAGAAATCTTACTAGGAATCCCCTAGAAATCCTTTTTAGAAATCCTAGAAATTACGCGTTGGTACATTCAAGCACCGGTAAATTAAATAGATAAACCTCTAATCTTGATGTGTGTGAATGTAATTTCGCTATATGAAAGCTCACTAAGAAAGTTGACCAGATCACACAATAGAAGGTGAAGGGACGACGACGTTTCGGTCCGTCCTGGACCATTCCCAAGTAGATTGTGATGAGGGAAGATGACTGATAAAGATTAAGCCACCCAAGAGGTGACACGGGCATAAATAGGCCGTGAGGAATTAATCTCACTAAGGAATTCAGAGTGATATTCGTCTCCCACTCAATCCCTCCCTAACCAAAGAGAATGTGTAATTCAATAACAGAAAACCATGCATTTAATGGCTAACTATTATTATTAGATTCTCGATTACAGTTACCCATTGATTTAAAATTAATTTCAACAACGACCACGTCGCATTGAATACAACTTAAATAACAAATCGATTTGTTCACTAAATCTAAACAAAATCATAATATTCAAGGAACCTAATTCAATCTTTTCATAGCAACCGTGTCTAATACCAGTTTCCACATTCTTATATAAAAGGAAAAGTATTCTAACCTGCAATATCTCAATAAACCGTAAAAATAACTAATTGGCAACTCATCAACACAAAATCAAATTCCCCAGTCAATTGAGCATGCTAATAACTCCTTATCTCGGTTCTAGCGTTATTATATGTTATTATTGACCTGACCAAACCTCATTGAACCTCACCTTGCGTCCCTTAACCTAACTCAAATTGCACTCAAGTTTTCAAAATATCGCAAAGCTGACTCATGAGCATTATTTTGCTATATATTTTGTTTACTTTTGCTATGGCACCCTTCCTTATGGCACCCTTCCTTATGGCATCCTTCCTTATGGCATCCTTCCCTATGGCATCCTTCCTTATGGCATCCTTCCCTATGGCATCCTTCCTTATGGCACCCTTCCTTATGGCATCCTTCCTTATGGCATCCTTCCTTATGGCATCCTTCCTTATGGCATCCTTCCTTATGGCATCCTTCCTTATGGCATCCTTCCTTATGGCATCCTTCCTTATGGCACCCTTCCTTATGGCATCCTTCCTTATGGCATTCTTCCCTATGGCATCCTTCCCTATGGCATCCTTCCTTATGGCATCCTTCCTTATGGCATCCTTCCTTATGGCATCCTTCCTTATGGCATCCTTCCCTATGGCACCCTTCCTTATGGTACCCATCCTTATGGCATCCTTCCCTATGGCATCCTTCCTTAGGGCATACTTCCCTGTGTACCGTATTTTGAACACTGTCAATTTGGGCAAAACCTGACCAATCGCTGTTTTCACTAATTTGCACATTTTCGGTACTAAAAGTCGTAATTTAACAATCCAGATATGTGCCATCACGCTGAATTCCGCTAACAAATAACGGTCAAGCGTCCGCTGACAACACCCGGAAAACCCCTAAGAAAATTTCCCACTGTGTTTTTTTTTCTCTACAAATTATTTATGTAAAACCAAATTAGCATGAATTATTATTATTTTGGTTGCCCAATATCAACGGGAATATATTTCAACTTACACTGCAATGACAGCACACGATAAGAGAGACCCAGCAGGAAGACAATTATTGTTGATTTGTTATTATTACAGAAATGAAGCTTAACTAACGAGAAATGATTTCTGGAGGGCTGGATCATGAGGCCTGGCACCTCGAGACGGATAAGAGTTGTTTATTAAAATTATTCGCTTCTTTCCTCATTCCCTAATATAAATATGTTCTTCATATAGATTCCTTACAATTATTGCTTTCTGACTCGTATACGGTTTTCTTGAATATTGACAGTATCTAATGAAAGTCTCTTGGAACCTCTGTATTACATGAGTTGTGTGTCATCCTCTCATGGATCCAACTCCGCAGCCATTACAATAATTTAGGTGGTGTGCGACGGTATTGGACATTCCGGGCAAGGTGGTGGGTGGGGCGCGGCCTGGCTACATCAAGTCCCACCACCAGGTTCCCACCTCAGTCACTCACCAGACGTCCAGGTGACTACACGCGCACTCCACCTCCTACCTCCTCTCGCTAAATATAAATCAAAGCAGGCAAGTGATTGAAATATTTGTAATCATCACTTTGTAAAAATTCAAATTCTTATTTCGTGGTAAACTAAGATCTGACATGCTCAATTTAATCGAGAGAGCTCTCATTCATGTTAGCAACAAAATTATCGCTCAGATCAATACATTACAGAATGTAGGTAGGATGGGTCGTGCTGAGACTAGACTCGGCTTAATTAACCAACCTGTTTCTATGTTGAAAAGTCTATGATGAAGACCATTCAATGTTGAGAAGTTTCAACTTTTAATATTAGAATGAATTCCAACATAAATTTGAATGTTCTTTCTAAAGTTAGTTTTCACTTTTTAATTAATATACAATTCTATAAAGAAGTTTACTATCTTATATTAGCGTTTACTATCCTATATTAGAGTTTACTATCCTTTACTAGAGTTTCCTCTCGAAAATGAGATTGAAATCACGAACCTATAATATTATATATATATATTTATATATATTTATATATATATTATATATATATATATATATATATATATATATATATATATATATATATATATATATATATATATATATGTCGTACCTAGTAGCCAGAACGCACTTCTCAGCCTACTATGCAAGGCCCGATTTGCCGAATAAGCCAAGTTTTCATGAATTAATATATTTTCTTTATTTTTTTTCTTATGAAATGATAAAGCTACCCATTACATTATGTATGAGGTCAATTTGTTTTTATTTGAGTTAAAATTAACGTAGATATATGACCGAACCTAACCAACCCTACCTAACCTAACCTAACCTATCTCTATAGGTTAGGTTAGGTTAGGTAGCCGAAAAAGTTAGGTTAGGTTAGGTAGGTTAGGTAGTCGAAAAACAATTCATGAAAACTTGGCTTATTAGGCAAATTGGGCCTTGCACAGTAGGCTGAGAAGTGCGTTCTGGCTACTAGGTAGGACATATATATATATATATATATATATATATATATATATATATATATATATATATATATATATATATATATATATATATACGTTGTTGAATATGACCGAAAAGGTAAGATTAATAACAATTCTAACAATGCATATATATGTATTATACATAATATATATATATATATATATATATATATATATATATATATATATTATACATAATAATATATTATATAACTATACAAGTATAGTTGTTTTTGCTTGGGATACACAGGACTATTGGGTCTGGCATAGCTTATGCCGGACTAGTAAGTGTGGCTCGGGTTATACAAGCCGTCAGGAACGCCATCGATTACGTGATATATATCAGGGACTATAATTTATTCACGATAGCCACCTTCCCCTCAGCTAGGGTGCCTGGCGGTTCCCCTCAGCTAGGGTGCCTGGCGGTTCCCTTCAGCTAGGGTGCCTGGCGGTTCACCACAGCTAGGGGTGCCTGGCGGTTCCCCTCAGCTAGGGTGCCTGGCGGTTCCCCTCAGCTAGGGTGCCTGGCGGTTCCCCTCAGCTAGGGTGCCTGGCGGTTCCCCTCAGCTAGGGGTGCCTGGCGGTTCACCTCAGCTAGGGTGCCTGGCGGTTCCCCTCAGCTAGGGGTGCCTGGCGGTTCCCCTCAGCTAGGGTGCCTGGCGGTTCCCCTCAGCTAGGGGTGCCTGGCGGTTCCCCTCAGCTAGGGGTGCCTGGCGGTTCCCCTCAGCTAGGGTGCCTGGCGGTTCCCCTCAGCTAGGGGTGCCTGGCGGTTCACCTCAGCGTTTTGCAGATATAAAAGTACAGAAAGCACTTTTGTATCTTCCAATACCTTGATTGTCTGTCTGTCTTAAACTGCGTGTTGCTAATTTGCATCTTGAAAATGTGGTGCCTGTATGCACCTCACCTTGTTCTCCTCACCATGTTCTCCTCATCATGTTCTCCTCACCATGTTCTCCTCACCATTTTCTCCTCATCATGTTCTCCTCACCATGTTCTCCTCATCATGTTCTCCTCACCATTTACTCCTCATCATGTTCTCCTCACCATTTTCTCCTCATCATGTTCTCCTCACCTTGTTCTTCTCACCTTGTTCTTCTCACCTTGTTGCCAATAAAACCTCACTTTCGTAAACGTGTTACCGATAACCAACGCACCTATGATGGCAGGCGAGTAGTCGAATCCTAAGTTCTCTACCTCTCTGGCTCAAAGAAACAATATGAACCTTATTAACTTCAGATATACTTGTTTCTAATTAATGCCAACACACAAGACAGTGACACACACACCATTAACACACAAGACAGTGACACACACACCACCAACACACAAGACAGTGACACACACACACCACCAACACACAAGACAGTGACACACACACCACCAACACACAAGACAGTGACACACACCACCAACACACAAGACAGTGACACACACACCACCAACACACAAGACAGTGACACACACACCACCAACACACAAGACAGTGACACACACACCACCACCAACACACAGGACAGTGACACACACACACCACCAACACACAAGACAGTGACACACACACCACCAACACACAGGACAGTGACACACACACCACCAACACACAAGACAGTGACACACACACCACCAACACACAAGACAGTGACACACACACCACCAACACACAAGACAGTGACACACACACACCACCAACACACAGGACAGTGACACACACACCACCAACACACAAGACAGTGACACACACACCACCAACACACAAGACAGTGACACACACACCACCAACACACAAGACAGTGACACACACACACCACCAACACACAGGACAGTGACACACACACCACCAACACACAGGACAGTGACACACACACCACCAACACACAAGACAGTGACACACACACCACCAACACACAGGACAGTGACACACACACCACCAACACACAGGACAGTGACACACACACCACCAACACACAAGACAGTGACACACACACCACCAACACACAAGACAGTGACACACACACCACCAACACACAGGACAGTGACACACACACCACCAACACACAAGACAGTGACACACACACCACCAACACACAAGACAGTGACACACACACACCACCAACACACAGGACAGTGACACACACACCACCAACACACAAGACAGAAACATATGTTACCATTAACTGTCCTCTTTGTGCCAATTATGACAATGCTGTGATACGAGACATTGTCCTCGTGGAGCCTGACCTAATGTTTTCAGTTTCTGAAACTTTGAACAATTCATCCCGCCTATTGTCACTAACAAGTCAAGTATAATAATTTTTTCTGTGGTGTTGAGGAAAGGGAGTGATTTTTTTTCCTGCCACAGACGTGGCCACACATTTACAATGTTAATCAGCGTATATAAATTTTCTTCTGTCCTCCATGGACAGGGTTTGAGATCTGTTAAACATATAATTCAGTGATTTATTGAACAATCCACGGCAGAAGGTGATTGTAGTCCTTTTAAAATTCTAATCTAACTTAAAAATATATGCACAGATTTTCGTCTGTCTTACATAAACAGTGTTCAAGGTGTCTTTTTACATAGCTTCATTAACGTGCGTTTACAAAGGTGAAATGAAATTCTGACCAGCTTCCACATATCGTGTATACAAATGCTCATACATATTCAAATATTCACATATACATACACATATCCACATATATATACATACACCTAAGTCTCTCCTACATTGACAGGGAAAGATAGCTTCTACAGAAACTAGTGTGTTATTAAACACTTAACCACTGAAGGTGATTAAGATGATTTTACAAGCTCAGGTTATAGGTACATACATTGTATAACAGATGTATTACATATTGTATAGGTACATACATTGGATAACAGATGTATTACATATTCAATAGGTACATACATTGTAAACCAGACGTAGTACATAGTGCTGGGATTATGCACATGCACACGTGCACGTGTTCCACCCATGAACGTCTGCGAGGTATTATATAAGCAGAAGTGTGCGAGGTATTATATAAGCAGAAGTGTGCGGGGTATTATATAAGCAGTAGTGTGCGAGGTATTATATAAGCAGAAGTGTGCGAGGTATTATATAAGCAGAAGTGTGCGAGGTATTATATAAGCAGTAGTGTGTGGGGTATTATATAAGCAGAAGTGTGCGAGGTATTATATAAGCAGTAGTGTGCGGGGTATTATATAAGCAGAAGTGTGCGAGGTATTATATAAGCAGTAGTGTGCGAGGTATTATATAAGCAGAAGTGTGCGGGGTATTATATAAGCAGTAGTGTGCGGGGTATTATATAAGCAGTAGTGTGCGGGGTATTATATAAGCAGTAGCGTGCGGGGTATTATATAAGCAGAAGTGTGCGAGGTATTATATAAGCAGAAGTGTGCGGGGTATTATATAAGCAGAAGTGTGCGAGGTATTATATAAGCAGAAGTGTGCGGGGTATTATATAAGCAGTAGTGTGCGGGGTATTATATAAGCAGAAGTGTGCGGGGTATTATATAAGCAGTAGTGTGCGGGGTATTATATAAGCAGAAGTGTGCGAGGTATTATATAAGCAGAAGTGTGCGGGGTATTATATAAGCAGTAGTGTGCGGGGTATTATATAAGCAGAAGTGTGCGAGGTATTATATAAGCAGAAGTGTGCGGGGTATTATATAAGCAGAAGTGTGCGAGGTATTATATAAGCAGTAGTGTGCGAGGTATTATATAAGCAGTAGTGTGCGGGGTATTATATAAGCAGTAGTGTGCGGGGTATTATATAAGCAGTAGTGTGCGGGGTATTATATAAGCAGTAGTGTGCGGGGTATTATATAAGCAGTAGTGTGCGGGGTATTATATAAGCAGAAGTGTGCGGGGTATTATATAAGCAGAAGTGTGCGGGGTATTATATAAGCAGAAGTGTGCGGGGTATTATATAAGCAGTAGTGTGCGAGGTATTATATAAGCAGTAGTGTGCGAGGTATTATATAAGCAGTAGTGTGCGAGGTATTATATAAGCAGAAGTGTGCGAGGTATTATATAAGCAGTAGTGTGCGAGGTATTATATAAGCAGAAGTGTGCGAGGTATTATATAAGCAGTAGTGTGCGAGGTATTATATAAGCAGTAGTGTGCGGGGTATTATATAAGCAGTAGTGTGCGGGGTATTATATAAGCAGTAGTGTGCGGGGTATTATATAAGCAGTAGTGTGCGAGGTATTATATAAGCAGTAGTGTGCGGGGTATTATATAAGCAGAAGTGTGCAGGGTATTATATAAGCAGAAGTGTGCGGGGTATTATATAAGCAGTAGTGTGCGGGGTATTATATAAGCAGTAGTGTGCGAGGTATTATATAAGCAGAAGTGTGCGAGGTATTATATAAGCAGAAGTGTGCGAGGTATTATATAAGCAGTAGTGTGTGGGGTATTATATAAGCAGTAGTGTGCGGGGTATTATATAAGCAGTAGTGTGCGGGGTATTATATAAGCAGTAGTGTGCGAGGTATTATATAAGCAGAAGTGTGCGAGGTATTATATAAGCAGTAGTGTGCGAGGTATTATATAAGCAGAAGTGTGCGAGGTATTATATAAGCAGAAGTGTGCGGGGTATTATATAAGCAGAAGTGTGGACATTATACTTCGTGGCCTCGCGTGACGCTGAGTCATAAAAAGTATAGTTGTCGCTGGTCAGAAATTGAAGCTCATTGTTCCATTTCTCAGAATAACACTTTCTGGCATAAATGATAAAGGTCAGGGAGGTTCACTAGTGTGAGGTGGCAGTAGCCGTGTGGTAATGTTATGGTCGATAGCTACAGTTACGTGGTGGAGGAATGTGGCGCAGACGACGAGTCAATATAACGTCACTGAAGATGTGAGGACCAACCCTTAAACCAGAAAATGAAGAAACGACGTCGTTTCAGGCCCTTTTGGACGGACCGAATCCTCGTCTTTCTTATTTTTCTGATGTGTGGTTTGGTCTTCAAGGAATGTGGTGGTCGAAGGCTTGCGGTTGACGCCCTGACGGGAACTAGTGCGAGCGACAGACTGTACGGCCACATGAATACAACTGAATGATTGACAGAAAAAAGTGACAGTTAAAGTAAGAGTTTATGGGCATATTTTTGAGGATATCTGAATCTCTGTAAATGTTTGTATGTGTGTGAGAGCATATACCTGAGTGAACATGTGTTTGTGAATGTGTGTGTTTGTGAATGTGTGTGTTTGCAAGGGCACCAGTCTGCGTTTGTGTGAATTTGACTGAAAAGTTAAATTCAAGTTTGGGCTTTTGTCTGAGTGGGCTTCTGTTTGCGTGTGGTGTCTGTGCGTGAGAACGGGCGTCTCCCTGTGTGGGGGCTTGTCTGTGTGGGCTTCTGTCTGTTTCAGCTTCTCTTTGTATGGGTGCCTGTCTCCAGAGACGTCTATCAGCGTGGGATCAGCGTATCAGCGTCTGTTTGGGCGTCTGTGTAGTTTCTGAAAGTGTAGACGTCTCTTAGAGTGTGTGACCAAAAATGCAAGTTTATGACCACAGTCATTACCGTATATTTCAGAGGCTTACTCTGGTTAACAGTTCTCCTTCTACTTACACCTCCACTACTTCTCAGGATGACCCGGGAAGATGACATGAAGGCAGCAGCCAAAGCGGCGGCTCGTGAAGCGGAAACACCCATGGAGAAGCTACAGTCTCTCTTGCTGGCACGCGGCTACAGCGGCATTATGCGCTTCGGCAGGTGGGTACTTGCCAACTCTCTGATCTGTACCTTTGTCCAAAACTACCCAAAACAATTTTTCAATTACACAAATAAAGAAGAAACGTTAATATTTTCTTCCATTAATGTTGGTAATGAATAAGGAACGTGACTAAGTTTACTCGGAAAAACGCTCATTTTATTAGGAAATTTGACTAAAACTGGAGGCAGGTGTCGCCGAAAGAATAGGACAATACACTCTAATCGTTGCCTTCCTTTGGCGTTACTCGCCAATTGTGTTCATGTTACTTCGTTATAAACAGAGCTTATTACTTGTAAAACTGTATTTATTCACGATGTACATTCATTATCAATTTCATGGCTAGAAAATATGTTTAATTTCTTGTTTATTTCCATAATTATAAAAAGTTAACAGCCAGCACAGGTTCTACGGACCTGTGCTGGGTATTATATTTGTGTTGGCTTCTGCTAGACTCCGTGTTGGTCTGTATACTTATCTCTCAGTGACTACAAGAGAGTGAGGTCTTGCTCGTTATGCCCCGCCTACTGGCCTCCTAATGTTCGCCAGCGTCCCATATGTTCCAGATGTTACCCTGTTTAAATGTGCCTTCAGTCTTAGTGTATGAATTATGTTCACGCTCTAATATTTTGCCTTTTCCGAATAATGTAGTTGCCTTCCTTTTATGGAAGGCAACTACATTACTACATAGATACTTCCTGGCCTTTCTTTCCCATTTCCAATCTTAATTACGTCTTATTTGTTTGGATTGACCTCTATCAACCATTTGTTTGCCCACTCCTGGAGTTTGTCAATGTCTTCTGAATACTAATCCATACACAGAAGATGGGGAGTCTCCTCACTTTCTGGTATGCGGTTTAGTCGTCATATCCTCTGCCACGTTATTGTGACTCATCGTCTGCATATGTCTTCTGAAGCTTTCTGCAGTCCTCGGTTTGTACCTTGTTCATCAGATTTGCTATATCTCCAAAAATGGATATTTACTGTAAAGCTCAATCCCACAATCAGGTCTTTTACTTAATTAGGAACAGAAGTGGTCACTGGAGAATCCCACTTATTTTATTCTTCTAGGTCGAAATCTCGTCTTTGACTGTGACTGTTTTCTGTCCGTTAGGTACTCCTTTACCCAGTTTAATGTCTTTCCAGCTAACCCAACTTGCTTCTTCATATTGTACACCAGTGATTCATTATAAACAATATCGAGAACTTTTTAACACTCTAGGAAAATACAGTCTACCTCGACTCTTTTTTTTTTTCCTGTCTCAGGTAAGTTTGTCAGGCAGGACCTTACCTTTTCCTTCTTAATTCATGCTGCCCTATTGTTACACAGCTTATTCTCTCTCAGAGAGGGTTAGAGGGTTATGTGGAAATTAAAAGCGCGTGTGGAATGTATGTAGTGGCTATGTATCCATTTAAGCGACTGTGAATACTGGTATTTTGAGTCAATGTGTTTGCTCATATTTAGTTATAAAACATACGAAACATGGCCCTTCTAAATTCTAAACGTCAACACAGATTTAATTATATGGAGTAATGTCCGTATATCACTTCAGAGACCTACGTCTTCCCCACGCAGTGTTTATAAACACAGTTGAAATATGTTGTCTATGTAGATAGACAAATTTTTATGTATTGAAAGTTTGGACATGAACTTAAGCTAATTTTCCGCAACAATTAAGAATGTTAGTGGAGTTTTCCATATATTCTGTTTCCGGACATTTGGAAGACACGGCATATATATATATGCAAGTGCGAATTCGCACGCGCGCGCGCATACACACCACACACGTGGCGATGCTAGAAAAGAAAAGAGGGAGACGGGGGTCCATGACAGAGACATAAAATATTTATGGGGACTGACAATGAAGAAAGAGTAAATGTTCACCATGAATACCGATAGTCAAGGAACACATGGATGGAAGCTCGAGACTCAGATGAGTCAGAGATGCTAGAAAGTTTTCTTTTAGCATACAAATAGTGGAAAAAAGGAATGTACTAAAGGTTGTGGAGGCAAACTTCATTTATGAATTTATAAGTAGATTTGCTAGGGAAATAGTTAAAGAGACAATACATCAGACAACCAGGGTGATGGAAAAACTGGGTCATGCAGTTGTTTTAATGATTCTTAATAATATATTTTCTGAAAGAAGGGAGAGAGGGGGAAGCAGGAGCAAGGAATAGGTAGATGAATACGTGGGCCTGCGGGCCGCTCCAAGCAACAGCCTGTGGGGACTAAGTTTTCACAAGTCAAGCCTGGCCTCGGATTGGACTTGGGGAGTTGAAGAACTCATAGAACCCCATCCAGCAGGTATCCAGCAAATAGATAGATGGTATGTAGATGGATAAATAGATGGATAGGTAGATGGATAGATGGATGGAAAATAGATAAATTGATTAATGGGTAGATAGATGCATTAATAGGATGATAAATAAACGGATGGATAGGTGATAAAGAGAGATGAGAGATCGAGAGAGACCCAGGTAATGCCGGATCCCCCCCCCCCCCCTGACCTTGTATATATATATAACTAAGAGTGCATTAACATAAAACGCCGCCGAATGTATTCTAGTTTATTCGACTCGTTATTGGAGTGTATCTTGATAAAGCCTCAACACAACACTAACATTACACATCTCAAAGGATGTTCCGTATCGCTGATGAAGACGGGAGCCGGACGCTGAACCAAGACGAGCTGTGTGAGGCCGTTCACAACTTCGGACTTCGCCTTTCAGACGAGGAGGTGGGCGAGATCTTCTCTGCCATGGACGAGGATGGCACTGGCTCCATCAATTATGAGGAGTTCCTCGATAAGCTCAGGGTAATGCATGTCAGGGGTTAGTTAATGGTTGTTAATGATGTTACTGATTGTTAATATTACTGATCTACTGCTTATGAATGAACTGGTAAGACAACATACTTGTACTAAGTAATACTATATACCAGAACAATTGTGTGGCTGTTGTGAAAGTTTATTCCTTTATAAATATAAATTGGAACATTAATAACTTGTTCTTTTCCGTGACTACAAGATAACTCCATAAACGTTTGGTTTTCAGCTAAAATAAATGTAGATAAAAAATCAAGATACTGAAAAAGGACGGTAAATAAAAATTAAACAAATATTTAAGTATTTGTTTTGAGTCACGACAAACCAAACATTATCAAAGGACTTGATTAACTGAAAATTGGGCACAAATGAATACCTTAATCAAAACCTGTTGCTGGCATCACCTTTGACTGCCTCGAGTGTTATCCATAAGAAGTTAATTATGTTTAGGATTACTGAAGGACAAAATGACATTATGTATAGGTCAGCATTTATAAATCATTTGATGATTCACTTAACCTTTATGCACTACTTGTCACATATGATAAGAATTTAATATTCAACTTAGGCTCAAAAGCCAACCAGTTAATTGATTGTATTCACCAACGACCTCTCAGTCCAGTAAACTCTATTTTTTTTTTTTTTTTTTTTTTGGGGGGGGGGGGTTATTTCTGGGGTTGGGTGGATAAATAGGTGGACGATAACACTAAATTATTATCTACATTTAAGTCGTCTCTATTGTCAAATTACTTGTCTGAACTTGTTGTGAACACTAAACAACCAAGTCAAACTTTAGGTCACAAATCATCAGGAACAGGTTTTGTTTGAAAACATAATTATGCCAACATTTTTTATTGTCAACATTAATATATATTGGTGAATAATATGTAAGTTTTACATCACTACCCAGATGAGTTCTTGTGTAATTAAGAATTATATCATCGTGTGTTTTGACAACAAGAGCTGGGCTTGAATGCAAGAAGGCAGGTGGCTGATGTTGAGTGAGAGGTTGGGATTGATGTTTGATGTTTGTGAATAGGGGTTAATGTTGGACGCCTTGGGTAGGGGGGGGGTGTTGATGTTGGAACAGTGTGGATAGGGGTTGATGTTGGAACATTGTGCATAAGGGTTGATGTATGACTATTTGAGAGTAGTAAATAATGCTTTAAAGCTAAGAGTACGTGGTTTATCCACGAACATTTACTGTAGGAGTTGATAGTTGAGGAATAATAACAAGAGTTGCTGATGGAAAGAATACGCAGCGTTGTTGAACATTATCGCAGTCATTGATATTGAAATACTGATGATATGGGCTGATGTTGGAAGGTTAAAGTTACTAATTATTCCTTATTTCAACCATCGTCTATGCTTTGCTTCATCATATATCTCTCCACTAGCCTGAGATGACGGAAGAACGTAAGGCTGTGGTGGAGGAAGCCTACGGCGTGCTAGACGAATCTGGTGACGGCGAAGTCACCCTTGAGGACCTCAAGGGAAAATACGATGCCTCAGGACACCCCAGCGTCGTGTCTGGAGAAGCCACAGAGGAGGACATCCTCCTTAAGTTTCTGGGCCGGTTCGAGGGAAATACCAAGGAAGATGGGAAGGTAAAATATATGTGTGTGTGTGTGTGTGTGTGTGTGTGTGTGTGTGTGTGTGTGTGTGTGTGTTTGTGTATCTGGGTACTCACCTAAATGTGTTTAAAGGGTCGAGCATCAGTTCCTTCCCGCCATTTTTAACAATTAGTAGTTTATTGCAATGCCTATATTCTCTCGTTCTCGTTTATTGTAATGCCTATATTCGTCTCGTGTGTGTGTATATATATATATATATATATATATATATATATATATATATATATATATATATATATATATATATATATATATATATATATATATATATATATATATATATATATATATATATATATATATATATATATTTTATATATATTTATATATAGGGAAGGGAGTACCACCTCTGGCTGGAAGAAGGGGGGACCCATAGCCTCGGAGGAAACCACATATAACGCATTGGAGGGAATGTAGGTCCCCTCCAATACAGTTTCTGTGTGCTTTTCTCCTACCACCCCCTTTTTTCTTTTTTTTTTTTTGCTTTATTGTATATTTAAAGGTTACAAAACATACAAGACAAATATATATATATATATATATATATATATATATATATATATATATATATATATATATATATATATATATATATATATATATATTAGTATATTTTGGTAGCAGTCTTTCCTGTAGACATATATTATTAAATATGACCGAAAAAGTAAGATTAATAATTCTAACACGAATTTTCTCAATCTTTCGTACATTACGCTTCACTGTTGGAGGTAAATCAAAAATCAATTCTCCAAAATTCATTTTTATTTCTAGTCTGACGCGACACGGGCGCGTTTCGTAATACTTATTACATTTTCAAAGACTTTAGTTCACAAATACACAACTGAATAGAACTTACGTATCTCCGATTTTATATCTACATTTGAGTGAGGTGGATGGGGTGATGTGGCATTAACACAAGACAGAACAAAGTGTGGTATTAATAGGGTATTAATTTCATCAACACAAGACAGAACAAGAGTATTAATAGGGTATTAATTTCATCAACACAAGACAGAACACGAAGCAATGGATATTGAATAGAAGTGTTTGTAGAAAGCCTATTGGTCCATATTTCTTGATGCTTCTATATTGGAGCGGAGTCTTGAGGTGGGTAGAATATAGTTGTGCAATAATTGGCTGTTGATTGCTGGTGTTGACTTCTTGATGTGTAGTGCCTCGCAAACGTCATAAATAAAATATCGATAAAATATCGCCAGGACCTGATTCGTGATCAGATATACAAGGCAGAGAATGAAATCAAAGACAACAAAACGCAACTACTTCATGCTACAAACGAGTGGAGAAATAGCAACATCGACGATAGTATCCGTACCCGCATTGAACAACACCTCGACATCCTCACAGACCAACATCACCTCAGCACTGAAACAAGGATTATCAAGAAACTAACAACATTATATGGAGGACCTATGGCAATTCCACGACCAAGAGATGGCTTCCTGAACCTTGCAGGAATTAACCTCACTGAGGACCAAGTCACTCTCCTAAATCTGGGCATAAACTGTCATGTTATGTCCAGACCGAGTGAGATGGCCCGGAAAGTAGAGTTGGAAATTCTGTTGGACGACATATTCGACCTCGAGACACAAAAGAAGGTCACTACCAAAGATACCTTACAAGCAGAACTTATTGCAGAAGGAGGAAAGAATCGAGGCAACTACAGAAGCACCATACTGTCCCCCGAGCTTAAAGCGGCAGCTAAAAGCCTTCGTGAGAACAAGGAGATAGTTGTCAGGAGAGGTGACAAGTCGCCAATATATGTCATTCTTAAAAAAGACGAATATCTGGCGAAAATGAACATCATACTCTCTGACTAAACTAAGTTCCAAAGGGTAACGAAGGACACTACAGCCGAATTAAAAGCAAAGGTCATCAAACTGATCGAAACTGTGAACGCCAAGAAATCCGGACTCCACCTGCCAAAGATCATTGGGGAATATAAACCTGGATATGCGTATGGAAATGTCAAGACGCACAAGCCTGGAAACCCACTTCGGCCAATCATTAGCCAGATACCCACACCCACGTACAGACTGGCGAAGCGACTCAACGGCCTGCTGACTCCTTATGTTCCTTGCGCCTTCAGCCTGAAGTCTCCAAAGGAATTTGTTGACTTACTGCGGGGCACACGGGCCACAGGGATAAGAGCCTCGTTGGACGTAGAATCGCTGTTTACCAACGTACCTGTGGACGAGACAATCGGAATGATAGCCGACAGAGTGTATCGTGATCCAGCCTGTACTCCTCTTGACATACCAGAAAATATTCTGAGGAAACTACTCCAAGCTTGTACTAAAGAGGCACCCTTCTTGAGCCCGGATGGGCACATGTATAAGCAAGTAGATGGGGTCGCCATGGGTTCTCCCCTAGGTGTCCTGTTTGCAAACTTCTACATGGGTACCATCGAGCAAAAAGTCTTAGTCGACATGAACTTGAAACCGGCCATATACTGCAGGTATGTTGACGACATTTTTACACAGGTACCTGATGTGAGACATCTGCAGGAGCTGAAGGAGGCATTTGAGCAGAGTTCCGTGCTGCGTTTCACTTACGAGATGGAAAAGGATGGGAAGCTGCCCTTTCTAGATGTAACAGTCATGGAAAAGGGCGGAGGTTTCCACACTGCAGTCTACACTAAGGAAACAAACATAGGAATGTGCCTAAATGCCAACAGCGACTGCCCAGACAGGTACAAGAGGAGTGTTGTTAATGCATATGTCGACCGTGCTCTCAGCCACAGCTCAGAATGGAAGCAAGTCGACGAAGAACTCTGTAGGGTAAGGCAGGTCCTAGTCAATAACGGCTTCTCCAATGGTTTCGTCGAAGACATCATAAGAAGGAAAGTGAAAAGCCATGCAACCTCTGAAGAGACAACTAACACAACACCTATACCCCCTATTAGACTATTTTACAGGAACTTCTTTTCCACAGCTCATAAAACGGAGGAAAGGGTCCTGAAAGATATTGTTAATAGAAACGTTATCCCTACAGACAAAAATCAGAGGATACAACTGACGATTTACTATAAAACCAGAAAAACGGCCAGCCTACTCATGAGAAACTCTCCAGACACAAAACAGAACGCTTTAAAAGAGACTAACGTCGTCTATGCCTTCAAATGCCCACTTGGGGACTGTAAGCTCCAAAAAACCCAGTATATAGGCAAGACAACAACATCTCTTTCTAGGCGTTTAACGATGCATAAGCAACAGGGCTCCATTAAGGAACATATAATCTCTTCCCACAACCAAACCATCGCCAGAGAAATCCTAGTAAACAACACAGAAATCATCGATAGATACAGCGATAGCAGGCGGCTTGACGTTTGCGAGGCACTACACATCAAGAAGTCAACACCAGCAATCAACAGCCAATTATTGCACAACTATATTCTACCCACCTCAAGACTCCGCTCCAATATAGAAGCATCAAGAAATATGGACCAATAGGCTTTCTACAAACACTTCTATTCAATATCCATTGCTTCGTGTTCTGTCTTGTGTTGATGAAATTAATACCCTATTAATACTCTTGTTCTGTCTTGTGTTGATGAAATTAATACCCTAATAATACCACACTTTGTTCTGTCTTGTGTTAATGCCACATCACCCCATCCACCTCACTCAAATGTAGATATAAAATCGGAGATACGTAAGTTCTATTCAGTTGTGTATTTGTGAACTAAAGTCTTTGAAAATGTAATAAGTTTTACGAAACGCGCCCGTGTCGCGTCAGACTAGAAATAAAAATGAATTTTGGAGAATTGATTTTTGATTTACCTCCAACAGTGAAGCGTAATGTACGAAAGATTGAGAAAATTCGTGTTAGAATTATTAATCTTACTTTTTCGGTCATATTTAATATATATATATATATATATATATATATATATATATATATATATATATATATATATATATATATATATATATATATATATATATAGGTAGGGTTGGTTAGGTTCGGTCATATATCTACGTTAATTTTAACTCCAATAAAAAAAAATTTACCTCATACATAATGAAATGGGTAGCTTTATCATTTCATAAGAAAAAAATTAGAGAAAATATATTAATTCAGGAAAACTTGGCTTATTAGGCAAATCGGGCCTTGCATAGTAGGCTGAGAAGTGAGTTCTGGCTATTAGGTACGACATATATATATATGACAGTGTCAGACAACGGAGGAAAATTGAAACCGGAATTTCCTTAAGTACTTTTTTCGTATATTAATACATCTTCAGAAGGAGTGGTTTTACAGGTCGAGTACTGGACATAAATAGGCAGGAGAGAATGGTGGAGTGAGGTGAGGTACAATACGTGGACACTGCAGAGGGCCTATTGGCCCATCTGATGCAGCAACCACACACAAGCTCACACATCGATAATCATAGCATAAAATAGTAAATATTTACAATGAATTAGTGAGACAAATGTGTTCCAATGATCCTACTTAAATCGCCCTTTAATTGATCTATTAAAAATGGATCTAAGTTATATAAACTACTGCTAATGTTCAAATTACTTTCTTTTGTGATCTGTATCAAAGCAGATTCAATTATGTTTCTGTTTTAGGTGCTTTTACAATTCGTTATTGAAGAAGCACTCTCCCAATCAATTTGGTGAGCATCTTCTGACAGATGAACAAACAAAGCATTAGACAACTGGCCATGTCTTACAGAGTATTTATGTTGCGAAATTCTACATTTCAAATCTTTAGATGTTTGCCCAACATAGAACTTATTACAGTCTTTACAAGGTATTTTATAAATGACACAATTATCACCATGAGGGCTGTTCCTAATAGCTTACCAACAGTATTTTCGTAGCTAAACAGTACATGTATATTAAAAAGTTTCAAGGCCTTGACAATATTCTCAAACCCAGAGAAATATGGTAAACATAACACATACTTTGGGCGAATTTATAATTTATATTATATTATATTATATTATATTAGAACATTTATAACTTTGCGTATGAAGAGACGAGTAAGTGAAACGTTTTCATCAGTAAATTTGCAATACACAAGTTAATCATTTCAACAACTTTTTCACTTTTTATTTTCAGCTTACCAAAGAAGAGTTCCTCGACTACTACTCCGGTATCAGTAAGTCCATAGACGATGACGACTACTTCATCGAGGTGATCAAGAAATCATGGAAACTGTAAAAATTGGTGTTATGGTCCTGAAACGGTGAGCTGCTACCGACACAGCGTAAGAACAGCAGTGGCTTTTTCTGATGCCTGAGGTCTATTGGTCAACAGCAGGTCAACATCGTATGGCTGCTGAGAGTGTCAGTACCGCGGGGTCTTTAATGATCATTATCCTAGAGCTTGTGTAACACACTGTCGAGTTCTTTGGAAACAAAAATTGAGAAAAGAATCATGGTTTATTGAAGATTTTTGTAAGTGGAAAAATGAAATTTCACAGACGAGTAAAGAATAGTTTATCATATAACAGAAGCTATGAGAATTAAATGGGAGCTAAATCACCGAAAGTCATATAGAGATCGTGGAATGCCAGGTGCTGTAATTTGGTGACCATTAATGATATTAATATTGCGAAATTCGAAAACAAATGAGAGGTACATGAGGATTCTTGAAACGGTACTGTCATGCTCATAAATTGAGAAGAAAATTGGAAACTACAAATTACCTACAATAGTCAGAAAATCGTGGCAAACGGTTATAGAAGGGAAAAATAGCAATAGGCTTTTGGAGACAGGGATGTAAATGAATTCCATAGCTTGAGTTATTGGAATGCCTCATGCATGTCCCGTAATCTACTTAACCTTTATTAATAAATCGGAATGCACGTGGTTGGACAAGCAGCCATTATATGATTCATGCACCTCCCATGCACGCAGTTATTTAACTCTTCACAAATAAATGTTCTGTGTTCACTCGGTACTTAGTAATGGTGCTTTCTGTATTTAAAGCCATAAGACTTCCGTAACCTGGCACAACAGTCATCCAAACACCGCACTCCCATTTTTATATATATATATATATATATATATATATATATATATATATATATATATATATATATATATATATATATATATATATAAGAGCGGCCAGTTTTATGTTTCAGCGCCTCAGTGTCGCTGTTCAGAGGGGAAATGCGTGCTGTATCTTGGGTACGCACCCGACCCCCGAGGAGCTGGACGAGGTCTTCGAACATTGATTGGTATATTGTTATATAAGTGTGTGTTTTCTGTAAACTGTAACATTGCAATAAAATCAAATAAAAAAATAATAGGGGTGGTAGGAGAGGAAAAGATTAAAGTATTCAGTGAGAATCCACAAGGTCTTCTCTGAACACTATTTATTTTCTTCTTCGAGGATGTGGGTCCCTTTAATTAAACCAGTGGTGGTACCCCTATATATATATTATATATATATATATATATATATATATATATATATATATATATATATATATATATATATATATATATATATATATATATATAAATATTTGCTTTATTTGAACTTTGTTACAAAAAAGGAGTTACATATAGGTTACAAAGATGGTTATCATAGGTTGTCGAGTTCCTCCAGCTCCTCCAGGCAGGAACCCTGGATGCAGTGTGCATTTCCCCACTGTATCGCCACGCTGAGGCGCTGGAAAAGAAAGCTGGCAGCTCTAGGGTCCCTTGTTGTTTCAATGAGCCTAGAACCCAGTTCCTTCAAAAAACTGGTAAATATATATATATATATATATATATATATATATATATATATATATATATATATATATATATATATATATATATATATATATATATATATATGCAATTGACGATCACAAAACACTGATCATTTTATGCGGAAAATCCACAGAGAAATATGAAATGAGGTGAACGTTTCGGCTTTGTTAAAGTCTGGTGTTGACAAAGTCAACATATATATATATATATATATGTATTCGCATATATATATATATATATATATATATATATATATATATATATATATATATATATATATATATATATATATATATTTATTTATTTGTATTAATAATTATGAGGCCTTATATAAGAACGTACAATATATTTAGGATATACACACAGAAATCACAATAACGTGATATATCAAATGAACAAAACCACAAGGGCCGTGATGATGGATCGAACCTACGCACGGAATGTTCCCAGCTGCGCCTTAGTCAACTGTACCACCACATGGTCACGCCGTTTACTTACGCCTGGACCATGTGGTGGTACAGCTGACTAAGGCGCAGCTGGGAACATCCCGTGCGTAGGTTCGAACCCTCATCAAGGCCTTTGTGGGTTTGTTTATATAGCATATATTTTGAATCTCTTGTGCCTTTACTTTTCACAGACGCCGTCTTGTTGAATCTGCTCTGATACACAACATGAACCTGAGTCCTGGCCTGACTTAAGCCTACCCCTTTTTTATTTTTCTCACCATTCTCTTATTCTTACCTCATCCCATTCTTTCTTCATCCTATTCTTACCTTTCATCCTAATCTTACCTTTCACTTTACTCTTTCCTGCTCACTACCCAACCACTCTACCTTCATGCGGCGTTCATTCCCCGACCGTCCACGTGGTTAGACACCATTCCTGCCCCCGGTCCCATCCCAAATCCTTATCCTGACCCCTTCCCAGTGCTATATAGTCGTAATGGCTCGACGCTTTCCCCTGATAATTCCCTTCTCTTCCTCACATCACTCTTTACTTATTTATATCTCCGTACCTTCCTCCCTTCTCCCTCACCACCTGATAATGATCTGCACGAACCCAAACATCGTCATTTCTCCGTTTTATGACGTGTGGCTTGGACTTCGTGCACTATATTTCTTTCCCATATTTCATTACCTTGTAGACATACTTATGATGCCTTGAGTTTTATACACTCGATATCTATACTGTCAGCTTTATATGCAAGTGTTATAATACTTCATCTTTACATTGACAATGCCCTTGTTCAGGAATATAATATCTTCAGTCAACACACAATACACCTTTTGGTTAATGTTAACAATGAAGAGTGTTTGAATTGACATCTTCGATACTTTGTTCACTAACAAAATATTCTGTGTTATTTAAAATATTTATATAAAAAAGTTTACTTCAACATGTCCTTGGGGATTCTATTCGTACGTAATATGACAATAAAACTATTCGTTCATTAAATTAAAACCGTCCTAATACATAAACAAAACTAGCAACGCAAGTGACATGTGAATCTCTAAATATCTTATAAATTGTTAACGTTTATTTTGGTTGACTGAGGTTTAACATCAGTAATATTTAATACACGAGCTACTTATTTACCAAAGTTATTATATGTGTATGTGTCTGTGGTCTGCTTAAGAAAATATCCGGAAAATGGCTTGTATTATTTATCCTCCGGGAACATATAGCCGATTGAAAAAAATAAGTAACAAGGTTCTTTATTAAATTAATTGTTTGAAACTCGTCTTTCCGGATGAATTAAGAGGTTAATATAAATTACTCAGATCTTGTCACTTTCTCTGACTGAGACAACAAATTTATTGTCCGAAACACATTAAAATTTTCTAATGTACGCAATATTCAGATTTACCCTATGCAGAATATAACATTGATAAAATTTAACAGAAATATAACGTGAACTTAAAAGCCTTTCAGTTTGAGAGCTCAACAAGTTCACAAAAATATTCAACAATACTTAAAAAAAACAATCAACAAATCCAGAGTTTGTAAGTTAGGTCCACCAAACTTTGCATGATGGGGAGCTGCCTCCATGACCAGGTCATAGGTTATCATGAGACCTACCACAGTCCCTAAGGCTGCGGGAGGCATCAAGAGACCTACCACAGTCCCTAAGGCTGCGGGAGGCATCAAGAGACCTACCACAGTCCCTAAGGCTGCGGGAGGCATCAAGAGACCTACCACAGTCCCTAAGGCTGCGGGAGGCATCAAGAGACCTACCACAGTCCCTAAGGCTGCGGGAGGCATCAAGAGACCTACCACAGTCCCTAAGGCTGCGGGAGGCATCAAGAGACCTACCACAGTCCCTAAGGCTGCGGGAGGCATCAAGAGACCTACCACAGTCCCTAAGGCTGCGGGAGGCATCAAGAGACCTACCACAGTCCCTAAGGCTGCGGGAGGCATCAAGAGACCTACCACAGTCCCTAAGGCTGCGGGTGTGGGAACCGACCTGTGAGATTTATATTTATTTAATTTATATGAATTTATATTTACGTTAATTTATATACTTCGATAGCAATTTGTATAATGATAAGTGGACTGTATTTCTGCAATAATCTCTTAATCTCACAAATCGATCCTCTACACATTAGGGGGGGTTATTAAATTAATATATATGCAGCCAATCAAACTACAGTAACTACATACATTGAAAAGGTTCCTTATCTTATAGTACAGCAGGTTAGTCCACCAGGTATAACTAGGGTGTAGACACCAAATTATCCTCTTTGAGGTAGCTTCCATCACCCAGTAACTGGTGCACAAACTCTTCCTCGTCTTGACCTGTCAAAAAGGCGCTAACTGTGAAGCCAGAAACCTATATATGACAAGTATTTCAGAGAAAACTGTACATGGAACATGAAGACCTGGCTTAATTACCTTTAGTTTGAGGCTTCCACGTGCTCTAACCGGGTCACCCTATATAATGACATTAATGGCCATAAATGAAGATACATGGGTTTCGGAAAGAACACTTAACTTGAATTTGTAGACAGCGTGTTGAAAATGGTACACCTTTGGTTTCCATAACACTACGTCCAAGTAAAATTAACAGGAGCCGAATTTGCTCCCGTGTGAGCCTCTGGTCTCGTACAAAACAACAATGGCTGCCCTCCTTCCTCCACTGACGCCTGGCTTACATTGTCCAGATTTCAGAAAGTGATAGAAGGGTCACATTTACTCTACTTTAATATTGATAATTAAGTTAATTTATATAAGATGTTTTTATGATGGTAAAGTCCAAAGACTAATATATTTAAGAATAATTCCCACCATAATAGGTGGTGAATTATAATAGTGTGTGGTGATGATATCCCGTTTTCTTTAGACGGTAATTCCACTACAAGTTACGTTTTCTATGGGTAACTTGTTTATACAACACAGCTCTTATCTGTCTGTATGATATTATTATTAAATGGTGTCGGATTTTCCGACAGCGGGAGGCATCAAGAGACCTACCACTGTCCCTAAGGCTGCGGGAGGCATCAAGAGACCTACCACAGTCCCTAAGGCTGCGGGAGGCATCAAGAGACCTACCACAGTCCCTAAGGCTGCGGGAGGCATCAAGAGACCTACCACAGTCCCTAAGGCTGCGGGAGGCATCAAGAGACCTACCACAGTCCCTAAGGCTGCGGGAGGCATCAAGAGACCTACCACAGTCCCTAAGGCTGCGGGAGGCATCAAGAGACCTACCACAGTCCCTAAGGCTGCGGGAGGCATCAAGAGACCTACCACTGTCCCTAAGGCTGCGGGAGGCATCAAGAGACCTACCACAGTCCCTAAGGCTGCGGGAGGCATCAAGAGACCTACCACAGTCCCTAAGGCTGCGGGAGGCATCAAGAGACCTACCACAGTCCCTAAGGCTGCGGGAGGCATCAAGAGACCTACCACAGTCCCTAAGGCTGCGGGAGGCATCAAGAAACCTACCACAGTCCCTAAGGCTGCGGGAGGCATCAAGAGACCTACCACAGTCCCTAAGGCTGCGGGAGGCATCAAGACATATAATTTAAGGCTTACGGTGAACGAAGGGGAAGGAGGGAACTATCAGGGTAAAGCACCAAGTCATTACGACTATATAGCACTGGAAAGGGGTCAGGATAAGGATTTGGGATGAGACGGGGGGGGGGGGGAAGGAATGGTGCCCCAACCACTTGGACAGTCGGGGATTGAACGCCGACCTGCATGAAGCAAGACCGTCGCTCTACAGTCCAGCCCAAGTGGTTGGGCAGGTGAACAAAGAGACCCCAAGAGAGTTGG